TATGATAGACATTTACGTTATTACCTAATCTACATATCGTCGACGGTAACACACACACACACACACACACACACACCCATATATATATTATATATATATTATATATATATAATGTGTAGTATTGTAGTGTTTGATATTGATGCAGTTGGCCGAGACGACAATGGAACGAAACGAGAGAGTCGTGCGGGAATAATAGATGATGACTGTACGAGATCGGAAAACTTGTTAATCCGCCGGGATACAGCCGTAAGAAATGGGTGGCTTATGTACTCGTTCGTCGAGTACACGTTCGAAGTCTGTTCTTTCCGCTGCATCGTCTATATTATTATCATCCGGCCGGCCCCCGCAACTCCGCCACGAACGTGGCAAATCACGTCTCGAGATTTCGTTATTGTCGGCGGCATTATCGTCTGCCGCTGTAAATCCGACGCCAATTATTCGTATACCCACTGACGTTTTCGTCATATATACATGACGCGTTATATTATAGTCTTACCACAAGCGGCGATGACACGTCTTCCGACAGACACTCTCGCGGGCGGTTATCACGCAGAGAAAGAAAAAAAAACACAAACAAATCGACCCGATAGTATTATAATAATATAATGTCGATAAACTGCGTCGTTAGGGGGTGGGGAGGGGTACACTTATCACACCTACATATTATGATTATGGTACAGACGGGGTGCATACCTATATAAGTATATACCTACAGCCGCTGCAGTCGACTACGACAATAATATATTATAATATAATATTATTATGTCAGTCATCGGCGTACCGATTGTATAAGGTTGGATTTGGAGTTTATGTGAGTACGCCGATCTGATTCGTTTACGTTGCTTACCTGCCTAATAACACATCGTTAGGTGATTTATTTCGCAAATGTTTGTAGTTAGAGCGCCGCAATTACGGTGTAGTGTGACAAACGACGGCAAAGCGTTTTGAAAAATACTCCACTGGATTTTTTACCCTATCTGTAATTCGCGAAGGCCATTTTTCTAACACGATTATACAATGTAATATATTATACGTAGTGAGTGTAAAACGTTTGAACGTTTTCTTTGATTGAATACGTTTTTTAGATGTAATAATCAGAGCAAACGGTCACTGTATATAATATATTTTTAACGCAATCAACTAATTTTGTCGCTTCAAAATTTATATTTTACTAAATGAGCAGACACAACATAAAAAAAAGCGTCTATTGTACCTACGTTTTCCATCAGCTTGAATGTGTTCAGTGGAAATATCCCAAGTTCTGTGAATTTATTTAAAAAATGGAATACCCTCCAGATGAGTAATCGGTTGGTTTTCGATATGTTTTTTTTCATACTACTGTAAAAAAAAAGTTCTACTGTACGAATTATAATATTATACTAATTTTAAATATATACACTAAAATAATGTAATAAACTGTGTATTATATATTAAGGCGTAATTGGATTGTTCGAACAAATTATGTGCAATACATAGAATACACTTTTAATATTCCACGGTGTAATATAGGTATACACTTTTAGTAATAATGGGTTTATAATTACTATTAAAGCGTACTTAAAAATTATTAATGCAATATATATATAATTGTATTCTCTTCGTTTCGGAATTCAATAGGTATTAAATTTAATTTAGTGCCTATTATTCATTGAAACGAATAATTATTTTTTCACATGGTTTTGGATTTTGTATAATTACAGCAAACAAAATTAATATTTTGCAATAATGATTTTATTAACATAAATAAACATATATTACCATATTCTCAAAAGAAAATAAATATGTAAGTACTTGTCACTTTTAAATATTAAGTAAACAACTTTTTATGTTAAAATACTTAAATTTGTAATAAACTACATCTTTAAGTTTCTTTAAACTTCAGTTTATATTGACTTTTGAAGAAAGTTGAAATATAAAAACATAATCACCTACATACATAATATTTTGTCGAGAAAGTTTTCATGAAAATGTGGTCGGAGGTTTTAATTTTAATAATTTGGACGTACAATTACTAAAAATAACTTTTTTATCCAAAGGATATGCATGTGTTTAATGTATCGAGTACAGACAGTATAGACTCATCCCCGAATACGACCGTAGAAATATTTTTAGCTACAAGTATTCACATTTTGATCAATGTTTTCTTAATGTAATTTTCAAATCCACGAATCCCATCCCCTTGAGTTCAAGCAGCTGTCGGATCGAAAAGGGCGCTTATATGATTTAATCTGACAGTGTATCCTCTTTCGCCCCTCTCCTTTATACCACGGTAGAGGCCAACAAAAAGGTGCTCGCCAGGACGAGACGGCATAAAGAGACGAGGAATAAAAATGGAAAAAAAGCTGGCATTTCCAATTTTGTTTGCTGCTTTGAATAATTCATAAGAGGTTTTTTTTTTTTTTTGTAATCAATTGTTACCGGTCTGCATGTTAATGAAATTCAAGTAATTTCATCTTTTTTATTTCGGTGTGTTTTTGGCGTCATTTCGCAGAAATTTGCCAATAAATTACGAGTCGAGGCTCGATGAAACCGCGGTCAGGCGCACCCGGAAATCCGGTTTCTCGTGTAAGTTATTGCCCTGTCAGAGGTTTGTGCTACGGGCCGGGGGAATTTTAATTTTCACGTTTATATAATTTTCATAATTTTCGTACGGGAAACTGAAACGCAATATGTATGTGTTTTGGAATTATTATATATTTTATATTTAAGAGAATGGGCCAAAACCCAACGTTTTGACAATTTATACAACTAAAAATAAAATATATTTCATAGCCCATAAGTAAAAATAATTAATAATGGTATCGATTCATTGTAAAATATATAATATTGACTATTACGTAATACTATTGTACGTTCTTAAAACGGTATGTTTATTTTTAAAATTGCTAAAAATTATTGGTTGAAATTTATAAACCTAATTTTTCTGACAACGAATAATTAAAATAACTGTCACTCTTATACGATTTTCAATTTTAGTATTGTCTATGTATAATGAAGATGTTCGACTAGAAGATGTGTAATAGATATTTAATATTTATCCTTTCATGGAACATTACATACATTATTAGGGACTATAATTTTATTATATATATTATATACATTATACTTATTATAAGTATTACTTTACACAGTACCTATATTATATTATTATATATTATAGGGTGGTCCAATATTATAGAGGCAAAAAAATAATTTTCGAAATCAACTCACTATTAACTAAAAGTCTCAAATAGTATACTTAATGTGATTTTCATTCATAATCTTCATCGTAATAAATTAAAATATAAACAATTTAATCAATTTATATACTAAAACATTGCATGATAACTTTAACCATTGTGTATCAAATGTATTAAAATAACCATAAAAAAAAATTATTTATTCTAAACATAGGTAAATATTTTGTATTTTATTATTTTTTTTAAAATTTTTTTAAATTAATTTATGAAAAAGTTGTACTTATAGGTACTATTTTTATAGGAAATAACAGGTTTAAAAAAGATCCTTAAGGTATTATACATTTTTATTACAGTTTTTGACTTGAGTTCAAAAACAAAAAAATGCTCTATTTGGTTATCTTTCAACTCTTTTGCGGCACGTGAAGGGGTTTAGTTATTAAGTCCTAATTTTTACAGAATTATTATTTTGTATCTCTTAATAAAATAAAAGTGTGATGGTAACAGAAATCTTAAGTTAAAATTTTTGAACCACCCTAATATGTATATATAATTACAGCGAAACTTCCATATTATAACGAACTTCAAATTTAACTAATTATTTTTGAGAACCATGATTCATTGTTAATCATGGGAAAATTCTATTTAACTATATATTACGATTTTTTTTTGTTCCCCATGATATTTCGTTTTATGGAAGTTTAACTGTATATAATAATATATTATAAATGTATAACCGCATATATAATATATGGAGCTGAAAAACTTGCAGTAATTTCATCTGTGATCGGAAAAAAGGAACACCGCGGAGCGTAGAGTTTTTCCTTTCAATTGAATCTTTTAAATTGATTTATTCGCGCTCAATTGTTGACGGAAACTCTTGAATTCAATACAAAATATATGTACACACATATAGTCGCGGAGACATCGATTTTATACCCTAGCAAACATGTACGCACACACATTCCAATTTACAACGCACATCGTGTTCGGGCGTCGGCGGGGGGGACATCGTAATTCGTTTAAATTCGGATGGACATTTGAGGAGAGTACCGCATTCAGCACCTACGCACACAAACATATAATATATATATAATTAAGGCTGGTCGAAGAAGGTGGGGGGGGGGGTGTTACCGAAATCGTGGTCTGAATCACGTCCGCGTTATAGTCGGTCATCGCATCATGTTTATTCATTACAACTGTGCCCCGGCCAGCTCAGTACGGACACATAATAATATGGTCGGTGTCTATATACGAATGTCGACTTACTTACGCCTGCGTACGAGAGGGGTACTCGAGCAAAAAAATAAAAATAATGGGAAAGATATATATATATATAATTAGGTATTAAATAAATAAAACAGCATCCCGGTGCATATACGGTATAGTACCACGATATGCCATCGAGAGACCGCGGTTGCGGTGACGGCGCGGTAAACAAAAGGTGGGAGAAGAGCATGCATAATATGTATACCTAACGTAATATAATAATATTAAATATTATCAGATCATGTGCAACCGCCGCATTATCCGTTCGGTCGTCGGTAAATGTTGTGGTCGTTGTTTATTATATAGTTCGTCTCTTTATAATACCTACGCCCGTCGTCTCGAAAGTCCGCCGCACTCTGGCAGATTGATAATGTAATAACAATAAATTGTAATACGTATAAAAATATGCATATCTAAACAATATTTAATATTACATGATATTATATTGTCGATGAAACAATAATAATTATTATTATTATTCACCTGCCGACGACGGTCGGCGCGAGGTCCGGGGCAGCGGTAGTTGTTAATTTCTCTCACAGTTCTCCGTTCGAGATGGGCAGCGGTCTGTGCAGGAGTAGAGGAGATGAAAGACCGGCCAGGGCTGTACGACGGGGGTTCGACGGATTGTACCGGAAGATAGTTTTCAATTACTCTAAACAGGTAAAAAAACACTCATGGTTGGTTTTGCATTGTTATCAATACGCCGAGTGTCTGTGTGTGTGTCTAAAAAAAATTTAATTAAAAAACGATTAATTCGTTGTGTTATGAATAAGTTAAAACCGCAAAGTATTAATTGCCAATATAGAGTACAGACCAATGTAGACAATACGATTTATAATTGATTTTATCATAGCAAATGAATATCTAACATCGTGTGGTTGTAGGTTGTAAAACATATTATGTTATTCATTGTATTATAATATCACATTATCCAAGTAATTTAATTATGTAGTTGAATATATTCATGCTGTAATTACTGTTGATAATATGTTGAATTTTATATAAATATTTATAGACGACGGCTTATTATTATTTCTAATACACGTCATACTATTTAGTAAATACAATAAATTACACACCATAAATTTAAAACATTTATAGTACCTATCTACCAATGAAGATATATATTTTTTTAATTTTACTTAGTTTTGTAATTATAGGTAGATAGTTTAAAATTTCGATTAGATACATAATAACAATACCAATTTAAACATAGTGCATCACATTATGAACTGTGAATAATTCATCTAAAATTTACTTGAATTTTTAATTTTTATTAATCCTTGCTATTAGGTCCCTAAATTATTTAACCCACATTGTGTGAATATATAATATGAACTGTGACGTTTACATAATCTTAAGACTATCTACATAATCTATTTTTTTTCTTATTAGTTTTACACTATGATATATTTTTTCTACTAGATTACAGCTATACCCATGAACGTAGCATAATATATGGGAATACAATTTTTAATTATTTATATAATATATTTTATGAGGTAAAAATACGAATAATGATATCTTTAGGTACTTTGAAAAATCTGTATCAATATCAATGATATATGAAAAAAAATGTAGGTAGGTAGTGTAAATAAACCTGAACGAATATTATTGTTCACGCTTTTACAAAAGAATAATGATCCATCTGAACATGTACAGAATGAAGAACTTGGACAACAATATTTTTAATTATTTAACCATTAAAAATATTTACGACCATGAAAATGGGTTTGAAATAATAATAAATTGGTAATTTAAGATAAAATGTGAACCTATATAATGTCGTTGCAGCCAATGGCCTTAGACGCCGATGCATTAGTAAATGAAAAAAAAAATAATAACTAAACGTTTTTATTTTAATAATTAATTCATACTTGTAGCTATGTGTTATTTTCAATAAATAAAATATGTTAAATTGTTTAACGTCATTCAGACTTAAGCAACAATTTTTTGCTAGAGTTGACAATTAATGTAAATTCGGAATTCGTAGATTGTAACTAGGTATAAGTTTTTCGAATATAGGATAATAGAAGCATAATATTTGTTTAACCATATTAATAAATAATAATAATACTAAATGTGTTATAAATAAATTATGAAATTATTGAGCCATAGTAGAAAAACGTAACTAGTTCTGACCTTTAATATTATGATAGAAGAAATCCAAATTAAAAGCTCTAACAGGTAACAAATAAATAATTGCAACTAGTAAAAGGACGTTCAATAAAAGGGAGTCAATTAAATTTCAAAAAACGTAAATTACACCTACACGGTAACACAAAACACAAACTTTAATAAGTTAATAAAATATGCCACGAGTATAAATGTAATTTACATTTTATTAACAATTTATGATATTTGTATAATATTATGAATTATAATAATATATCAATAAGCAATGGTGCATTCCACGTGTTTAATTAAAATATGGTGTAAATAAGATTTTCAATATTATTTCATTTCATAACTATATAAATAATTGTATAATATTTTAATTTTAAAAAATATTGAGTGAAAAATGTGTTTGAAAATGAATGGGTATACTATTATTGTCATTATTGTGCGTTCACAAATTATTTACGTCATGTTAAATTATTCAAATCGGTTACGCTTGTATGACATTTTACAAGAATACAAAAAATTAGTATTACCTACCGATTTTTGGTGATGAATAGTTACGAAAAACCTTGAATCTGTATAGGCGGACTTGAATGTGAATTTCCATTAAAAGAAACTTATCCGATGTTAAGCGTATAAAATATACATGTATGTGTATCACATTGTGTAATATTATATTTTAATAAAATGTACGGTTTTTTTTTTTTTTTTTTTCCGTAAACCCCTTGGTGCGATTATTTAATATGGAACATCTGCCAAAAAATAATTAATCTCCCGCTTAGATTCCTAATGACGCATAATCTAAGGTCAAGTGATATTAATGCACTCGTGTGACAAATAATATGCGATATATTTTTATGAAATTATCCATATTACATATTATTATATGTATATTATAATGATCATAACGATAATATTCTGTCAAAATAATAGTACTAAACTACCATATTTTAATCCTATGTATAATTTTACTTATTATTATTATCATCATCATGACTTATGGTGTTCGACATGTCAGTTTCAGATATTTACAGGTACCCATTGTAATTAATATGCATTGCGTATTAATTCACATTAAAAACCATACGTTACACAAGTATGAGCTAAATACTCGTATAACATGTCGGTGAAAAAACTATATATAACGAATAGTAATAAATAATAATACATGTAATATTATGTTAATTAATTAAATAATTCAATATAAATATATACATTTTTATGTAAATAATTGAAGTTAGGTAAATTATTGTTCCTTGAAAAATAGATCTATATGAATTCAATTATCTGATTCTCATTCATGTGCATTCAAATGTCATAATATTACTATTAATATGTTTTCAGTGGACGCGTTATTCAGACAAAAACAAGAGGAGTGAAAAAAAAAATACCAAACACAATAAGTAAGTTAAATATTATATTTCTGTAGATGAGAATGAGGAGAATAAAGGTTTAATAATGTGTTGAAAATCACCTAGGTATTTGTATATAGATTTGTAGAAATATTATTTACTGTGTCTGTAGTCTGTACATAGAATTATGTAGAATTAATAAGGCTGGTCATTAACTAGTATAACTTTTAGATTTTCATTAACTTAGCTATTAATAACTTACTAAATTTATTTTTGAACTAACGTGAAATTAACAAATTAATTGTTCATCTTAAGAAGTACCTAAGTAAAGTAAATTTATTTATTTTTTATTTGTAGTGCATTTTGTCGAAAAATATTTATACCATGTATTGTTTAAAGATCCAATTTTTATATTTTTCCAATCTTACTTATTATATTGGTAAGTATTATTCTTTCTTTTGAAACGAACAATTTCAATAAAATACGCACTACCTATATGGAAATACTTACTGTATAAAGTATAAACATTATAGCCTATAACTTAGTTTTGGGTATTGGTATGGTAAAATATAAAGGAGGTACGTAAGTGTTGCATAAAAAAAAATATCAATGTATAACTAAAAGGTTTAAAAAATTGTGTATTAACTATTGACTCAGCTAAGTAATCCAAAAATTCAATTAACTTTTAATTTTTAACCTTTTCTTATTGGCGCGTATTAATTTAACTTAACTGACTTCAAAAAAAATCAATAACTTGTCCAGCCTCGAGAATAATAATTATATTGTATAATTTGACTTAAGTTTTACACTTATTTGAATGACAATATTCATTTTTAATTTCATATTTGAATCAGAATAATTTCGAAGTATTTCGAATTTTGATACATAAAAATCCAATTTCGAACGATTACATAATATTTAAGAAGTTGTAACTTATGATAAGTATTTCATGATTAGATGAGATGAGTAGAGGATCGGTGACATTGTACCCCAAAATGTGGGCGAAATAGTCTGCTCATCAAACTATAAATACATATAACTAATTAGCAAGTCGTTGGAAATTCAATCGATTTTTGCAGAAATAATATTTTTAATAAAATTAACACTTAAATATTGAATGTAGACATTTATAATAATCGCCTAGTTTAAGGTAGATATTCGTTTAATTTTGTCCTGGTTACAGTTCACCAATATGCACAAACAGTGTTGAATTATATAATTTTGTGTGCATTTTAATGCAACAAATAATTCTTATTACCCTATAGCATTCAAAAACGATATCAACAGAAAATCCTATTATAATAATATTCATTGGCAGATTTTCAAATATTTGATATTCAGAAAAATGTCAGTATAATAATATTTTCCTCATTAGTCATTGTTTACTCGGAATTTTAAATCATAATAAAGAATTAAATGCATATTTTTTTTTATGGTATATAGTGTGGTACAACAAACAGTGTAATTTGCATTGAATTTTTTTTTTATAGTAACGCCATCTGAAAAATATTAATTTCTTTGTTATAAACTTAAAACTTATAAAAATGTGTTAAAATGTATACGGGCAATACAGGGTGTCAAGAAAGTTTTCGAACGTACCAAAAAAACTTTTTTTTTTAGATTAATTTGGTTCGGGAAAGTTTTTAGAGTACTTTTATATCTGAAAACGTGATGGTGAACATACTAAAAAAAAAAAAATAACGTACACATCATTGTAATCACCAATAGATTCTGAACGGCACTCGGAATCTAAAATTGAACACGTAGATACAGAGTTAAATGTAATCATAAAATCCATATTCTTGAAGAAACAAAATTCAACAAGAAATCACTGTAAATACAATTATTATACGAAGCGTCAAGCTACTCATTTAATGTTCATAAAATGTTCATAGGATTTATTATTATTTGTGTCAATATAAAAAAATAATAATACGGAAGTAGTATTATTTTGTTATTCTGATAAAATGAAAAAAAAATTACCACATGAAATAAAAAAATAAAAATCTTAGTATTAAGATAGTAAACTTTAAAGAATGCATGCATTTAGTATTTTTTATTTTTTTTTTAGTGATAGATGTAAGTTAACTTACTACGTTGTCTTATAACAATAATTTATGATTAGGCGAACATATAGAAAAATAATTTCCAATTATACGATCAAAAGTCGTGTTCGATATATTACATTTTGGATCCACAGTGGAATCCACTGCACATGGCAGTAACTAGGATTGAATAGTTACAGGAGCTAGACTTCTAAAAAACCAAAGTGTAATTAACACATGCAAAGCCCCCCCACACCCCCTTTTAACATTTACTGAAATTTAGTTGTTACAAAAAGCCCGCTAAAACCAAAATTTAATATAAACCATAATTTGTTTTGGTCATCTCTGTTCTTAACACTACTTGATTTTTTTAATTTGAATATACTGAACATTTTGATAATTGACAATTGTAAACAATAAAATCTAACGTATTTACGTATACCGGTACGTACTCAAAAGTAAAAATAACGGCTGTGATAGTCTGTAATAGTACCTAACTCAACCTACTTTTCAGTTTGCACAGAGAGTGCCACAGAAGCACAGTAAATTGAGAACTGAGAATTGGAAAATAAAATGATTATATAATAGTATTCAACCACTGTACGAATGTGCGATACAAAAACGGACTAAGATTATATTATTATCTTAGTCCGTGGATACAACTAATATAATAAGACCGATACGGGACACGGGCACCTATTTAAAGGTAATAAAATAATATATTAATATTATAATATATAATAGGGGCGTTCTATGGGTAAGCTATTGAAGCTTTATAATAATATGCAATAAGCAGATACGCTATACACCTTAAGCACATAAATACATTTCTACCACGAAAACTATGACCAATTACTATAAACTCGTACATGGTACTGTACACAATATCAATTATATTATATTATTATTATTTTTTTTTTTATTAGGGTTGAGGGTAGGGGGGGACTGTAGGTTGTTACACGTGTGTGTGTTTTGGCAGAATTTTCGATTTGGGCACCCATAGGTATCTTCCATGCCCAGGTGGGGGATGGCGGCACTTGTTTTCCGGACACCGTGACTTGCCCGAAGAAAAATGACGACGCATTAGACCGCTCGGCCACTCCGTCCCCCCATATATAATATTATATTTTATAATATAATAATTTATTATTTTACACATTATTTTTTTTCGTAACGATTTGGGTTCTAACTATGAGCCTAAGGAGGGGCTAAAAAGTAAAACCTCATAGGGGGGCTAAATAGAAGTACGAGGGGGCAAAGCCCTCCTCCCTAGTTACGCCGATGCCACTGCATTACGCTACGGTATAAATTAAGTGATCGGTGCCACTGCATTATACCGTGCAGTAATATTCGACGAAAAGAAACAGATGAAAATTACTTTAAATTTAAAACAAACCGAGTAAACAACGGATAAAAAAAAAACAAAAGCTTCAAGGTCGTCTGTAGGAGGTATTTAGCCATTTAGGTGTAATAAATCTAATGAATAAGCAAAAATTATTTTGCGGGATACTTGTCACTATTAAACGGCAACCGGTGCTAAGCGAAAGTGATATTTCTTTATTTTGGACTACTTTTGTGCGTATAGATCGAAATATATTTGGACAGTCGGCAGTGAATAGGTCCACAGAGCGGAATGCGTTGGGTGTCGTGCGAGAACGACGAAATTAAATTCATAAAACAACGCACGGCACCGTTAAATCATAATATAATATAATAAGACGCGCTGTAGTCAATAAACTCTGCGGACCTTTCCTCGAAACTTTCTTCCGCGCGTTTTATTAGACGATCGTTTGGAAAACTTTACGCGGGCATCTTGGGCCGGGGCTGTTTATTGGGGAATTAAAAAAAAAAAACACAAAATAAACGTAAAACCAAGCGCGGACCTTGTCCATGATATTATATAGGTAGGGTATTCCCAGAGCTGTTAAAATGTATTAAAATGTTACAAAGGTATATAATAATATAACCTCGACGCGGTATCGTATAATATACCTACCTACTGACGCAATAATAAACTCCATCACTATTATGTGCTTTATGTGTCCAGTCGGTCATTCGCATCATGAAATCGAATACGCTCTGGGACATGATGGTCTCTGTGCAGCTAAGTATACGGACGGTTGAAATTTTCAGGAAAATATTGTATTATTGTACGCGAATATTACATTTCACGACAGACGACAGAGATAATATTAATATATCGGGGGTAGAGATGAACTCTCGATGTCAAATTGCCACGAACAGGAGCATACAACTACGCAGTATAGTATTGTCTAAGTTATATTATTATTATTATACGAGTGATTTTGTAAATTCGTATTTTACTTAAAATTCACATTATATTATTTTACTATAGCAATATTATTAATTATTTAATAATACTCTCGTACTAGAAAAAATACCCATACACAACTATTGAATTTACTTGAACGTTCGTGTTTTGATAACTTTGGTGGCGACACAACGTTTGCACAATGTCAATATTATTTTTCAATTAAGATTTTAGAACACTATATTCATTAGTTTTAGCCTATACGCTCTATACAGCCTATACAGCTCTAAATAATAATGTGACAATACATCCATTCAATATCTTTAAATTAATTCAATGTGAAAACGGAATTATGTATTAAAAGTTATAATTTCGTGACAAACATATAATTTATGTCAGTTTTAAATGAATACGAAATATTTCATTAAAACTAGAATGGATCCATCGTCATATTACCTAATAATAAATTATATAAAAAACAAAAATAAAATAATATTATACTTTTTAAATATTATTTTTACTAATATAATATTATTATGGTTTGAGAATAATGTGTATTTAAAAAATAATGTTTTGATAGAGAAGCTTTTTATGGTAAAAAAATGCTTTGAACTTCAAGTGCGATGGTTGTTTCTGTTTGAAAGTCCAAAAGTAAAAAATCCCTATACTTTTCTGAATGTTCACGAAAATCTAAAAAAAAAAAAAAAAAAAATGATGATAATATAGGTACGATTTTTTTGATAACTGAGTACCTATTTATTTATAAGTTAATAAAAGCAAAGATTTTTTTTGCCAAGATTAGTTCAACCTACTTCGTATATTACTAATAGAACAAAATCTTATTTCGTGTATATTTACAATGATTGAATCATTCTACCCAAACTCAATGTTGTTAAAGAGGAACAATCGAAAACTATACAGGCTACAATATTATACAGTAAGTATACAGCAGAGCGACTTCTCCGGTTTCATGTTTCAGTTTCTTAAATTTGTGTTGTATAATTTTAATCCAATATAATATAAACTGAGCAGAAATAAAATAAAATATTTTACTACATTTTTAATGACAACCCTAATAGTTGCGTATAATACAATATTATTACTACCTAGCCATATTATCATAACAGCTTCAAATTGAGCAATATACAGTAATACATAATATTAGTACATACCTGAACCACTAACAAACGCTAAACATTTAATGAATCAATAGTGAGTTAATAGTGCCTACCTTAAATATGTTTAGGTAGCCCATGATTGGTTCGTAAAATTTTAATAAACCATTAAATTAATCCATTTTTCATGCAACCCGGTACAAGAAAATTTATAAAAATATTTTTGTCAGATATGGGGAGCTTGATCGTAGTGATTATCGAGGAAATACCATACGCGGTGGGGATTAAGTATACATACGGAACAAATAATTTGTTCCTGATCGGAACTTTACTACAAACGGTTTCGACTATTTGTTCCGGGACTAACTTTACTGTAATAACTTTAATTAATTAAAAATCCATAATATTGTCTGATCGTTTACTTAACCTATACAGTATCTTGAAACAATTTAACATCATATAAACGTATATAGTTCCGTTCCATATTCTTGTGCTTTATAGGTATATATACCCCTGGTATAACATTTCACTAGGGATATTTAACTCCACCGGTGAAATTTACCTCCGGTAAAATACCTATCGTGAATATTCAACCCTAACCCCCCACCCTAGTAAAATGTAACTGGGTCAAAATACACGGTTCCACCGGTACACCGAAAAACCGCCAACTCTAATAATTATTGTATTGTTCTTGTTTTCTCAAACCGTGTCTCATTGATCTTATTGCATGTATAGGAGCAGACAGAAGAAACCGATCATCAGTGGACCGTTTCCGGCAGATCCGGACCGTCTGCAAGGCGAAAAGTGGCAGTACGTGATACTGACGCGGTTGGACACAGAACCGCCTCCCGAACGACCTCCTCGAACCAAGCGCTGCCGCCGGCAGGAGACGACGATCAGTGGCGTCAGTGGCATCGTCCGTTGGGGATCGGAGCGGCGACGGCAGCGGTCGTTCGGTCGCAGGCGGCAGACGACGCCGCCTCAGAGTCTGTCCACCGACGAGCTGAAGGAATCTGTGTCGTCAGGACGAGTCGACATTGGCGATGGTGGCGGAACGGTCGAAAGAGCTGCGAAAAAAAAAGCGACGTTGGCTTTCGACAAGGCCGTCAAAAACACTTCGATGTGGGTCGTTTTGTGGTCGGGCGCCATCGTCGCCGGTCGGACGTACGCTGCCCGACAAAACGGTTTGCTCAAGTCCGTCGCCCTCGCCCATGCGATGGCCAACGATTTGACGTCGTAACATTAACAGATCGGCGGCGGTGCACTCGGAAAATAACCTCTGATAAGGTGCCTTAGTACTGTCGTTAATCTTAGATCAAAAGACCTCAAGTTTTGTCAAAATTAAAGTTAATTGCGTTGTCCGATTTTTATTAAGAAAAAAAAAAGTTTGAACTCGACAGAAAATTGTCTTTAGATTGTACGGAACACTTTCTAAAGATCAAATCTTGTATTATTGTGAACTGTAATTGAAAACTTGAAAGTATACATTTTTTAAACGGAAAGTGTTTCATATGATCTACAGACGATTATTTTTAAAAAAATCAAATTCAGACAACGATAATTAACTTTAGTTTTGTCAAAACAATAATACGTAAGGTTTTGTAAAATTCGTGAAATTTGATATTCTTATCGAATTTTTAACATATGCATGCGTGTAAGAGAGTGGTACTGGAATTGAATTTCACTCACAATAATAATCATTTACAGCTAACTCATAGATCCCGGGTGGCTAAGACGAGATTAGGAAATACCTAATGGTTGCCCCATTAAATAGCCCATAGCGAGGCCCATTAAAGATATAATTATTTATTATATCTTTAGTCGTGGTAATAACCAAGTGTTTATGGTATCTTTTATCTTTATAGTGATAACAATACTGCAGGCTATCGATATATCGTACGCCACCCACACACATAATATACTATTACAATCATAATATTATATTATTATGTAATCTATAGGTACTGTAATTGACTTTTCCAAAAGCCACTGCGGAAAATCATATTTTGTTTTAAATTTAATATCATAATATTGTCTGTATTGACGAATCGCGTGAGACCATAATACATAACGAAATCTAGTGGTTGTCCAAAATCCGTACGAATAACAATTCTATTCAGATTTCCAACTATAAACTATAAGTTAAACCAGCATGTGAAAATACGTCCGATGTTAATTTGATTGTCTGTAGATAATCAGATCTAACCACAGGTTGTGCAAAGTGCGCTGCATTACTACTGTATACATTTATATTATACAGCAGTGGTTGTCAACCTTTTTGGGTCCACAGCTCCTTTTGATTTTGAAATAAAATATACGGCTCCCATACGAACATTTAAAATAAACAAATTTACATTACTTATAATAATTTTAATCTAACCTTGTGTAATGATAAACATGTAATTAGGTATTAATAATAGGAAACATTTTTTTATAAATATGCTATTACTCGATATCGCAAACACGGTTATCGACGGTTATCTCACACATGCAACATGTAATATGTATTGGTGCGCCGAAATTTTATTTTTAGTTTCTATTGCGAACGCGGCTCCCTTGATAATAACCGGCGACGCCCCTGGGAGCCGCGACGCACAGGTTGAAAACCCCTGTTATACAGTATGGTTGGGGGGGGGGGGTGTTTGGGGTGTACATCATAGAGTAAGATATATTATGGTGTATATGGCAAAAAAGAACAAATGCATTATAGCGCCTTATACTTATTTCATTATATTTTGGTTTCAAAAAATCAAAACTAAAACTATAGGTTTGGCATTTGAAAAAATGTCTTATATAGTAATATAATATATTAAGATAATACAAATAAAAGGATAACCGTATAACTCTCCTGTCACATTATAAAACCACATCTTGCCTAACTTGCCGATTTTATGCCATCCAAATACACGTCGGAGGAGACGTCTTACTATCGAGTTCAATTTAAGTGCACACTCGACGCATTTGAACGCCATAAAGGCTGAACGCAAAACAGTTCAACGATTTATCCGGTAATAACATGGAGAAAGAAAAAATATATATATAAATAAAGTGGCAATGTAATGCCGAAAATCCTCCTTGCACAGTGTTTATGACTTCCGCGGCTCGACGGATGATACTTCCGGTGTGTTAAAGCCAAGTCGCCTTGTCATCATTTCAGAAACAGGTCGTTCGATTCGAGCGGAAAGCCAAGGGAAAGGGATGAAAATAAATATATTTAAAGGTTCGACGCTATGTAATGGCTGCATTCGATATACGAATACATAGTATATACATACGAGTTGAGTTGTACTATATTATATAGTTCGTATATTTTCGTTTTCCAATTTCATTCACCATTCTACACGTCCCATTAATATTGCGATATCGATAAAAAAAAGGGCCCGTATACAATAATAATTATTAGGTAACAAGTATACGGCTTCCCGAAGGACATAGGTAAGGACATTATATAGGTACGGATATCTACTCACAAATAACCAACTCTTTTCATACCTACGTAAAATATGGTTTTTGTGGACTGTGGTAAATTTCGTTGGTTCCACCCCCTACGAGTGATCGTAATTGAACCCAAGCAGTTAAAACTTAAGAATGTCTATGGAAATTTCAGTGTTTTATTTTTACTGTAGTAAACGAATCAATTTTTTTTTTGTGTGTATTATTGATTGTAATTTGCAAAAATGACATATTTTTTGATAATTTATGTTATGTAAAAGCTTATAATATTATGGTTTCAACTGTGAAAGTGTCATGTGAAACACAAAAATACTCAGAATTTATAAAAATAAAAAATTATTGTAGTATAATTTTTTACTTAAATTTTACTTAAAAAATTGAAATGCAACATCTTATAAAGAAACAATTTTTAAACTCAAATAGTAAACTTATTTAGTATTATATTAAATTTGAAATGAAGCGTTGAAGTGTTTTTGATTTTTTTATGCGAACATTTATTATTAGTATATTCATTGATGTATATTTTTGTATTTATAACTGTTTTTGGATACGTCCACCAGTTTGATAACTATAAATGTATGTATAACAATTAAATATTGTTTTATTTTATTAAATAAATAGCATTAACTTGTGAGTCAAAATCTTTGTTGTTAATATCACTTGTACATGAATACTTTTAGAGAACAGAATACTCGACTATTGCATAGCAGCGTATCCAATAGACTGAGTGTTAATTTGTGCATCAAACTTAATAAAAATACACTTAAAATTGCTTCTCAAAGTAACGAAATAATAAATATCATACAATCGTATGCAAATTTTTTGGCTGTTATAATAACGTGTTGTACAAGATGAGTAATTATTTTTCATATAAATTAACGATTCTTACCAATTAAACTAAGTTAAGGTCAAGTGAATAACAATTTGGGTTTCACACAATATAGTAGAATTTTTTATTATAGGTAGATTTTAAAACAATATTCAATCATACTAAAATCAATCTGTATATAATATATATATTATATATATTTATTAATTAAACCCCGCGAAAACGATGGCTATTGGGTGATTATATTTATAAGATTGTACAAATTATAATACAAATGAACTTAAATAATAATTTGTAAATAAGATAATTTTTTATCGTCCGAAAATGTGTGAGCAAAATAATGAATAACCTCATCACTTAAACCGATATATTACTTTAATAGGTACGTATTCCTCTAAGTAGGTATTGGAATACAAAGTTACCTAACCTAGGTTAGTATTAGCAAAAAAAAAATATATTATTATGGTGATTGTAAGAACTTTCAACTATTCAACTATACACGCACGTCAAATTCACATAATTATTTCATCTCATAATAGGATTTGAATTAAAGTTGAAACAGTCAAGACACAGATAATAGATAGGAATTTAAAATTATAAACACCAATACTGCCACTGCAGGCGACGTCGTATATTATTTCAAATTCTCATATTCAATTAGACAATCGACGAATCATAAATTATAGAAAATAATATATCATTTATTTCGTGTAATCGTAGGGCTGCAAGGACCAAAAAAGTGTACAGGCGGCGTCATACATATGAGATAGGTTTCAGTACCTACTCCTTTATAACAAAGAACTCTTTTTCTCAATCTGAAATGTGCGAACAATAAAATGTTATTATAATAACATATAATATATTGTCGACATATTATTGTGTGAACGCGCTCGTTTAGGTATAGGTATATAATCAAATGCCGAAGAGCGCCGGGTGTCTTACCTAATAATGGCGGAATAAAAAAAGAGATCAACCTAAAAATATGTCAGTAAAATAAACAGGAAACAAGCGAATTCCACGCATTGGATCGCGATTAGCATGTGTCGCCACCGCAGTTTTTAGATATGTGTCGCGTGCGTGGAATTGTAAACATACGTGCCACGAATGTTATTCGTGGAAGGTAATATATATGTGTATGTGCGTGTAAGTATAATAAAAACCAGAGGGAGCGAAGGCGTCTCGCTTTGTCTGAAAAGGGTTGGTGGCCTTTGAGCACAGTGGCAAGCAGCGGGCGAGGCGAGTGGTGACGAATGAGACGAGTTTTGTCGTCGTACATAAAAACCAATATCATTTTTTTTCCCCAATGCTTGCGAACCCGTGTATGACACGAAAGCGTTTTATGGTGGCCTTTGCACCGCCGTTTTTATAGTCTGAAAACTTTGTCACCGGGAATCATCGTGGCATACGGCTTTTACGCACCCAAAGAGCCGTTAAAACGAGTGTAACGTTCGCATGTAGTACGTAGGTACATGGTGACGTTTTGTTTTCGGAGAGACACTCAACGCTGAGTTTTTAAGTACATCACCTCGGCCTTTGGAAAAAAATATATTATAACATTTTACCAACACGGTTGTAGAGTAATTGTAACTTTAAATGTTCACAGAAAACCGAATTTCTACGTCCATATCGTAGTAATTTTCATTTGTAGAAGGGTGATGCCGTAGGGGAAGACATTTTAATATAAATTCATATTATCCATTTCGTGTGAGTTACATAAAAAGTTACTACGATAAAAATAGTAAACATATTATCCCTAGTTATTTTCGCAAAATAAAAATCTTTTATATATTTCTTAAATTATCTCCTGACTTAAAATTATTATGTGTGGAGCAAAAAGTTAGCCTACTGCAAATATCAAGTCTCCCGGTTAAAAAAATAAATACCGCCCATTTATTGGATACCGAAAAGGTTACGGAGCTATGGTCTGACGGAATTTCCTTTGGCCTACTCGACAATAT